TCCCTTCCCTCCTTAACTCCACTCCATCGTAACGTAATTACCTGATTAAGGGACGCGCAGCTCAGCTCGCAGAGTGACACATTTTTAAAATTAGAACGCTCGCGCCATCGCACACAGCCCTGTCTCCCCAACAACGTGGTCTCAAGGAGAAGAGACGGGGACAAGGGCATGCGGGACACCCAGAGGGGGGGACGGGGCCTTGGTGACCAGGTTCTGCCCCGATTCCCCAGGGCCACTTCCCAGCTGCTCCCACCCCACCCCCGTCCCGCAGACTGGCTCTCAGGGAGACGGGGGAGGGGGACTCATGGAGAACTGCCACTTAACCCAGCCCTGCTGTCCCCAGGCATTCCATGGTCCCTAGGATCCAGATGCTGCTCTCCAGACCTGCTCGGGAGACAGGGCAATGGCATGACCATGGGAGGGGGACAGCAAGGCTTCCCTCCTGTCCCCGATCCCATCCCATGATGCTCCTGCCTACGCGGTCTCCCCCGTGCCCCCGCCCAGTTCCCTCTTCTCACACCTTGGTCAGCTGCCTCCTCTCACCAGAGTCCCCGCTGAGCGCCTTCTCCGTCCCCAGGCTGGAGGAGCAGCCCCTGCAGTCGGGTCACCTCCCGCACTTCCCTCTCCCTCATGCCACCAGGTGCCACAGACAGGTGGTCTTTGTGTGGCTGCTCCTGTGTCTGTCGTCTGTCAGCGGCAAGAGCTGGGCCTCCTGTGTCCTCTTGTCCTCTGTCTTCCCCTGTGGAGCACAGCCTGCCAGGTTCTTGTCCACAGTGAGCATGCGCAGGTGAAACAATGGCCGTAGATGGACGGATGGACAGGTGGATGCATGGACAGGTGGATGAATAGACACGTGGATGGATGAATAGATGGGCAGACAAACAGACGAACAGATGGATGGATGGATGGACAGGTAAATGGATGGATGGATGGATGGACAGATGGATAGATGGACAAACAGATGAACAGACAGATGGATGGATAGATGTACAGATGGACAGGTGGATGGATGGATGGATGGTCAGGTAGATGGAGAGACAGGTGGATGAATGGATGGATGGACAGGTGAATGGATGGATGGACAGGTGGGTGGATGGATGGATGTATGGATGGATAGATGGATGGATGGACAGGTGGATAGGTGGAAAGGCAGACATGTGGGTGGGGGGATTCAGGGATGGGCATGTATGTAGATGGACCAGTGACAGTACCGCTGTGTGGCTCCCCCCACAAAGGACACTGCTCTGGGGGGCCTGATCGTTAAGCTGTTCCCGACTCAGGCTGCCGGGGAGAGGAGGAAGAGCAGGTCAGAGTGGACACCAGGACCCAGGAGTCCCTATCCTCCCCCTGACTGGGGTTAGGTGACTGCCCCTCTTTGGGTCTCACTTTCCCGTTGGAGATGTGAAGCATTTGCTAGACCAGCCGAGACCCCCTCCTCACTCTGACCATGTGGGGGCCTATAAAATAAACCCAGAAGTCGGTTCCGAAGCCCATTTAGTCTGTGGTCCCGATGGCACAGATGGCCTGGAGCAGGCCGTGTGGAGGCAGAGTCGCGGGGTGTTGCCGGGCTGCGGGGGGAGGGCTGGGGTGGTGGGGGCGAGCAGGATGGCCCAAAGCCACCGAGTTTCCCTCTGGAGCCGTGGCATGTGCAGACATTGATGGTGGCGATGGTATACACTAAAAACCATTGAGTTGTAAAAATGTATGAAAATTTCACCTACAGCAGGAAGGTAGGTGGTTTAATGAGCTGGACGCGTTGATGAGGGCTGAGATCCTGGCCACTGTGCCCACTGGCAGCCACCTGGGTCACCCCCTGAGCCGCGAGGGGTCTTTGGAGACCAGGGGGGAGCCAGGGTCAGGCGGCTTCCTGGACTCTGCCTCCACCTCAGGGCTTGCGCTGGACAGAAGCGCTGGCCTGCTCTGACCCTGACAGAGCCATCGGCTCACCTGGCACCTCATTTTCAAGACTAATTTGCTTTTCTTTTTGGTGGAAACCCGTCTCCTGCCTGCCCCAGGGCAGACCTGGCTCCTCTCCAGAAAGGTGCGGCCTGTAGCACTGCCCAGTCACATCGCAGGCCGCCGCCAACTGCCCCTCACCCAGCAGCCCCCGCGGGGTGGGCTCCGTCCCAAGCCATCTGCAGGTGCTTGACCCTCCCTGTAAGTGACCCCGGGTGGAGCCCTGCTCTGCAGATGCACGTGGCGAAGGTGGTGACCAGCCCCATCGCAGTGCGGACAGGACTGGAACCTGCAGCCAGGAGCAGGGCCTGCGCCCCCTCCCTGGCACAGGACACTCGGGGATCCAAACCCTCCTCCTGCCCCTGCGCTCACACAGCACTGCCCGCCGCTGGCCGGGGCACAGCGAGTCGCTTATCTCTCTGAGCTGTCATCTCAGGTCTGAGATGGAGCCGGCCCCCAGCAGGGTGCAGTGGGATTAACTGGGAGTGATGATTGACATGATGTGACAGAACAGGATGTGATGTGACGGGATATAAAATAAGTGCCATGTAACACAGATCTTATTCCACGTCATTTAAAGGATGTTTCCCCTCCAGTACAACATATTAGATTAAAATACAGCACCCCACCCCCAGAACGGGAGCTGCAGGACCCCAGAGCAACCCAGCTCCACTCACGAGGCCGGGCCAACAGGTGGTGCTCAGACAAGAGGCCCTCAATGAAGAGCCTTGGAAAGGAGCTGGCACACAGTGGGCGCCAACACCTGGCCCTGCTGCTGCGGGTAAAAGCCAACCAACCCCCACCAGCCCGGGCAACAGCACCCCAGGGCCCAGACCCGGCGACTGGCTGGAGCCGCACAGGTAACAGCTTCCTGCCATTGCCAAGGGCACGTCTGCCACCCAGACTTAACTGCTGCCCCTGGACACTGACATCTGTCAGTTCCGTCAGGGATCTCGCTGGGTCCCCCAAACCCTTCACCCGAGCTCCAACTCCATCGGTTCTGTCCACCATCGAGATGGTAAACACTGAGCCCAGCCTGTACAGGTACCCCAGGTGGCCGGCGGGTGCAGCCAAGGGCAGGGGGCAGGTCAGTGAGGGCAGCTTAGGTCAGCCCAAGTGGGTTCTGGTGCCCTGCCTGTGCCCGCTCTGTGCGTGGCCTGGAGCCCCTGTGGCCCCCTGCACCTGCCTCTGTGGGAGGACAGTGCAAGGTCCACTTGAATCGTCCACTTGATTGGATTAAGAGATGCGGGGGATTGTGGGTGTGTCTGTGAGGGTGTGTCTATGGATGATTGGCATGTGAGATAGCCAACTGAAATGGAGACCCTCCCTAATTGTGGGCAGCACTGACCAATAGGATGGTGAGTTGGATGGAATAAAAGTTGGAACGTCGGGAAGCATCAGATGTGAGCTCCAACCCAACTCTCGCTTCTTCGCTCTTCCAAAGCGTATTCTGCAGAAGCCCTCGGTCCCAGACTGGGGTGGCACCTTCGATCCCTCTTGTTCTGGGGCTTCCGCCTCGTGGACTCACAGCTCCTGGTCCTCCAGCTCTCCAGCCTGCAGATGACCATGTGGACTGTCCAGCTTCTGGCCATGTGAGCCAACCTGATAAGTCCCCTGTTTAATTCTACTTCCTGTTGACTCTGCTCCTCTAGAGACCCTGACTAATACAATGGGGGAGGACTTTCCTTGGGAGGGGACAGGTCCTCCCTCCCTAGTCAGGGGCTGTCTTAAGAACAGGCTCCCGCTCTCCTCCTCTGCATCCCCACTCTAAGCTCCCCGCCCCTGGGTGTCCAGGATGAGGTCCACAGTGACAAGTTCACAGGGCCATTACCCAGCCCTGCCTGCACCCCGGCACACCAGGCGACCTGGCGGTCTGCGCTGCTGTAACGGAAGGCCCAGCGCTGGGTGGTTTATGCAAACCTGAAGGTTGGAAGTCCAAGCTCAAGTCCAAGGTGCCTGCATCTGGTGAGCGCCTCCTGGCTGCTCCATCCCGTGGCAGAAGGTGGAGGAGCAGGAGCGCCCGCGCACACCAGGGGCTGAACTCATGGTGGTGAGGAGCCCACTCTCAGGACCCCAGCCTCAAACCATAGCAGCACTGACCACGACGGGGCAGAGCCCGGGCCCCCGAGCGCTGCTGCGAGGTGCCCCCTCAGCCCTGGGAAGTTCAGCACACGAACGCGGGGGGCACCTTCAAGCCACAGCCACAGCTTTTTCCTCTTGGGCTAGAAACGCGATCAGCGCTGACCGCAGCCTCCCCCTGCAGGACTGAGGCTGGGAGGCTGGCAGGAAGGGGGCCAGGGCTTTCACGGGGAGGGAGGGGGCCGCTGGAGGGGGGAGCCGCAGAAGAGGGCTGAGCGCGGCTGGAAAACTCAATTTTTTGGGAATCTGGGTCTGAGATGAAACGAGCCTTTGGGGATGGGATTTAATATTGTCTGGGAGCCTCTGTCTTCATTTAGGGCGACAGATCGCATTTATCGCCACTTCTCCCCTCGTCCCAGTTACGTTTATTGTGGATTTATTCACTTATGAGTCTTGCAACAGGAGTCGAAATGAGTAGACGGACTTTTTTCCTGAGCTACATTAATTTTGGAGGGAGATTTATTCTGCCAGCTGCTCCCCTTGTGGTAACTGAAGAGCTGCGGGAGCCCCATTAGGGGCTGACCAGGCAGGAGAGGCCGAGGCTCGCCCAGGGTGGAGGGACGTGGGGTCCCCAACACACCTGGGACCCGGGCTAGCAGAGGGTGAGGGAGGGACGTTCCGTCAGAGGACAGAGAGGAGAGGCAGAGCGAAGCCACCCAGGCAACCAGTATGTTCTTCTGGTGTCTGTCACCTGGCCTGGCCGTGGTGGATGTTACAGATTAAATTGTGTCCCCCTCCCCCCAAAGGTATGCTGAATTCTGAACCCCCAGGACCTGGGAATGTGACCTTAATTAGAAACAGGATCTTTGCAAATATTATCAAGAACATGTGCTTGCTAAGGAATGCCAACCATAATGGTCCATTTTTTTTTTGTCGCTATAACAAAATACTTGAAGCTGTGTACATATAAAGAAAGGAGGTTTACTTAGCTCGGATTTGGAGAATGAAAATCCAAGATCGGGTGGCCCCATCTTTTCAGCCTCTGGTGAGGGCCCCCTCAGCTGCATGACAACATGGCTGTAGTGTCATGGGGAACCGCTTCAGAAAACAAGAGAGCTTTATTTACCTGGTCAGGGACTGTCACTCGCACATAGAGACTGAAGCTCTGTGGGAGGACAGCAGTTTCCTGCTCTGTGTCCTGGGAACTTAAAGATGAAAACCACAGCTCAGGGACTTTCCCTGCCCTCACGTGAGTAAGCCAATCACAGAAGCTAGAACCATAGCCAGCAGGACCTGGGAGCCCTAAGCAGGACTGGAATTTTCCAGTTAGCAAGCACGCAAGCCACAGAAGGAGGAAACACGCAGTCAGCTTGCAACTCAGTCGCATCTGGGCCCGAGCAGGTGTTAGACCACCGTACCCTGAGTTCGAGCAGGTGCTCATCGGGGGCGAGAATCTACTTCAAAGACTGAGTACATCTGTGGGGTACAAAGAACAGAAAACAATATATGATAACAAAACAGCTTTCGTTTCTGTTTCTCAGAAATGGGTCACGCACAGTGTTTTATAGAAGGCAGCCAGACGGAGTCTTAGGGCTGTCTGTGGCAGTCCTGCTTTATAACTGTCTTGTCTCACTTATCAGAATCTTACGTCTATGACCTATATTCCTTACTCCTCTGGACCCTATAACTCACACTCTTATTGGCGCATTTATCAGTTACACCCCACAGTAGGAGTGCGGAGGGGCCGGTGCCTGGGAGGCCTTGCCCTACAAAACCCCTTCCCTTAAGAACTCGCTCGCTCCGCCAGACCCGTGTCCACCCTCCAAAGCCAGCCCCTCCAGCGACCTCGCCACCTCCCACCAGGCCACACCTGCCAACATGTCCACGCTGGGGACCCAGGCTCCAGCCCCTGAGCCCTTGGGGACACCCTTGAACCACATCCAAACGCATCAAGGCACAGACGACTTGATTGATCTCGACTCTGGCCTCCAGGACCGTGAGGGAACAAACGTTGGCCTAGACGCCATGCTCCGTGGCCCTCCGTCTTGGCCGCCCTAGGAAACCAATATGGCGGACACGGGTATTAGCTGGGTGGGTGCTTCCTCACCTCCACCTGCGCTCGGTGCTTGGGGTGGAGAGGCACCTACGCTCTCGCCCTCTCATGAAGATCATTGGGGGCACTGGGACCCCTTCCCGTGGCGGTGGCCCTGGGGGCCCTGGGGTTACTTAATGGAAGTCAAGGATGTGTCTGATTCGCGGCCACTCAGGAGGTGCTTGTGTCCTCGTGCGACTCGCGGGCCACACGGAGACAGGCGGTGACATCCTCCAGTGACAGTCTCTCTGCTCTTGACCAGCTCGTCCACGGGTCCCAGGCGCCCTCCCCCCAGGCGAGCATTAGCGCTCCTCCTGGTCAGAGCTCGCTCTTCCCGCTCCACCTGCTGGTTCTCCATGTCCACAGGGTCCAGCTCCCCACTCAGGGCCGGGGACATGCTCCTGTCCCCAGAGGGCACATATCACAGAAGAAGGGAAGGAAGGCCTGGTGTGGCACCTCTGAGCAGCTGCCACCCCACCGCTGACGCTCACCTCCGGAGCCAGGACCAGCCAGCTGGCTCCCAGGCTCCGTGTCCTTGACCCGGTTGACACACCTCCCCATCTGCCGGCCACCTGTCCCCGTGCTGGGCTCTTGCCAGCCTCTGCTGGAGCAGTCCCAGGGAAGGCTCAGACCTGTGGCCCCGGAGCCTGGCACCCTGCCCAGGCTGCTCTCAGTGACCTCAGCCCACAGCTGCCGCCACCTGTACCTGGTCCCCAGGCCTCGCCCGCAGGTGGCAGGCGTGTCCCTGATCATGTATAAGGAAACGTAAAGGAGCACAGAGTGGCTGAGACCCTGGGCTGGGGACAATGAGTGAGTGAGGATGTCACCAGCCGGCAAGGGAGAGCATGCACGGGGACATCCAGGGGTAGACGGCCAGGCCACGCAGGAGGTTGGGGTGGGGGTCTGAGGGGCGCCTGACGTGGTAGCCATTCCGCCAGGTGATTGACAGCTCCCTCCACACGGAGCTGGGTGGGCGCCGAGGCCCGGGTGGGCGGTGCCGGCCGCAGAGTCCTGCACGTTCCCACGGAGGCAGGAGCTTGAGGACAGGACACGCTAAAAAGCAAAGCAAATGGGGTGTTGGCGCCTCTTCTCCTGGAGCCTGGGCTCCCGGGTCCCTCTGGGCCCCGGCAGCCCTGCCCAGGGGCTTCCGAGCAGCAGGTCCTAACGCCCAGGGCCAGGGAGCAGCAGAGCTACCCGCCCCGTCGACGCCTTTGCCTGCCACGTGGACGGCGACTCCACGGGCTGGGCACACAGGCACGTGGCTCACCCTCTGAGAAGACGGGACACTGTGGTGACAAGTTAGATCTTGACATCTGAGCCTAGCACACGCTCTGCCCTGCTCCCCTCCGTCCTCCTGCC